ATTTTTTTTTTTTTTTTTTTTTTTTTTTTTGTCCCCAGAATCAACTCGATCAAATAATGAACACTTTATATGGAATCCAAAACAGAGTGTCTTATTACTTGACAAAAGTAATAATGTTGCAATCTTAATTTGCATGTTATGAGTTGAGTTTCGAGTATGTACCAATTGGGCAGGAGCAGGTTGAAGGTAGATGGCAAGTGCATATGCCATTCCAGTCACACAGTACACTAGACAAACTAAAACGACATAGTTATCTGTAAAAGTTGATCTCGGATTATTGAAGAAATAGAACATAGACAGGTAAACCAGTGGCTTGACGATTGTGTTGAAAAGGTCAAGTGTGTCTTTTGCGAGAAAATGCGCCAGACTGCTAATCCCTGATGCACTCTCTCTCCAGTACTGTAATTTGTCAAGGGAAAATGATCTCAGTGCTGCAATCTTGCATAGGAGGGCTGCAAAATAAGCAAAGAGCGTATGACATAAGACATATAATGGGATGAACTTCTAACTGAAAGTAATCAAGCATAGATTATGCAGTGCCTCAGTTTTTTCTAGGAGAAGTTTATACTTGTTATGGTAAATAATCAAGTGATCCAACCTATTTATAAAAGGACTATGATTTATGCAAGACACCACTTTCATTGGTGCTGTAATCAGCAGAAACCATACAAGCTATTTATTTCATTACTGGCAACTCACAAATAGCAATGACGGTGAAAGTATAGCCAAGGGAACCAAATGTTTCATCATTCACTTTAGCAAGAGTTCCTAAGCATGCTCCAGCAAGTAACAACATCAAGTAATCAGCTAATTGAATTTTAGCTTCTCGCAGTCGCTGCTTGCACACCCTGGAAAAGCAAGAAAAACCATGTACAGAGCAATTATTCTTATTTAATAAAAAAGAAACACAAATACAACACATACAGAAATCTCCAGGTGCAAACTAAAAGCAATGTTACTATATGTTTTACATATGAGAATAAGACTAGATGAAATAAAAGCATGTTTTAGGTGATTTATTTATAATTATTTTTGTATAAGTGTTTAATTATAAATCATTTGTAGTGGTATTTAACTTTAATTAAAAACAAATGGTGTTTAACTGTTATCTACAAGAATGCTTTATCCTCTCACTGCATTATAGTTACTTATAATTCTTAATCTTTATCTCTATAGATATATAAGAAGTCACATGAATAAACAAATTATACATGTATATTTGTTTAGAATGTATTGAAAAAGGAGCACTTACTGTTGGACTCCTTTGAAGATATTGAAATTCTAACACTTCAGGCTCACAATCATACTGAACTTGATTACAATTTAGAAGTGATAGAGCTTGCTTACTGATGCATAAAAAGTAGAACGATGAAATAATTTCAGTAATCTTTACCTTCCCAAGAAATACCTAAACTGCCGAGCTAAACCAGGAGTTCTTCGATTAGATAGATCCTTCGAACTTAAGAAGTTCTGCTGTGCGTGATCCCGCTGCGACTCCACATTGGACTTCGTGTCTGGCAATAAATCTCCAGCAGGAGATTGTTCTCCAGCTTCATCACCAGGATTTTCTCCATGTGTTGAGCCGCTTGCAGATGTATCAGAATCACATAATTTCAGCAGGTCCGGAGGTACTGGATACCCATTATGAAGCATCCAACGGACAGGAAGTTGCTCATAAGTCACACCTACTGGCTTCACCAGACCCTCAAGAATGTCAATGAAATGGTCTGGAGGATTAACACGATCTGGCACTGTGATCCCTATACCAGCGAAGTACTCTTCAACTTTCTTTACAGATCCATGATACGCAGTAAGCCCACCCTTGGCGAGAAGTATCAAATCATCAAACATCTTAAACAACGAATAGCTGATTCCACAAAAATGAAAATAAGTTTACTTATGATCGTAGGACCAAAAAAGCCAAAGTAAAAGTAATATCAAATTAAGAAGAGTTAGAGATGGAGAGGGAGAGGAGGGTTTCCTCATGGAAAAAGAATAATAAGAGCCCATTAGAAGGGAGGGGAGTTTTCTATGATTTCAAGATTTTTATGGGGAAGGAAAATCTTGAAGTCAGATTAAAAGTAATTGATGGTCCAAAACGTAATTATGTTCATTTATCGAGTATCATGAGAATTGGCATTCTAAGGTTTG